TTCGTAGTTGTGGAAGTGGTTGGTAACGTCGAAAACATTTAATACGAATTACATATTACAAATGAAATCATACGATTAATTTATTCACGGACTGTAATATTTTGATAGACGGTCTAGTAACGACTATTAAAAATACTAAAATTTTAGACGCGTGCAGTTTCGAAACTACGAATATTTTATTTATAAACGAGCTATCGTTGGGAGCGGTAAACCTTCCTCTTTAAAATGGCTTTTGGTTTTTGGCGATCCGACTTTCCGTTCTCGAGATATCGTAATTTATATAAAAGGTAATTTTTTTTATCCGACTGTCTCACTGTCCGTCGCGTGTACAATAGCCTATTAACGCGTATTAAAAATACTAAAACTTTGGACGCGTGCAGTTTCGAAACTATGAATGTTTTATTTATAAACGAGGCATCGTTGGGAGCGATAAACCTTCCTCTTCAAAATGGCTTTTGGTTTTTGGCGATCCGACTTTCCGTTTCCGAGATATCGTAAGTTATGTAAAAGGTAATTTTTTTAATTCGACTATCTCTGTCTTCGTCTAGCGGAGTCGGACCTCTTTGTCGCACGTGCGTGGCGCTGACCCACCTCGCGTACGTGACTGTCGTGACCCAGTTACCAAGAATTTACTACGCACTGTTTACTATCTACGCGCGCGAGATCAATGAACTTGCGCGAGCGCAACAACGAAACGTAAACAAACCCTATCTCCGAAACTAGCCACCGCATCAACTTGAAATTAAAATCGCTATATCTCCGGAACTAATAAAGCTATCCACTCGTACAAAAGCTCATTTTAAAGGGCATTTCATCCCCTATCCGATGGCCTTATCAACTATTATTATTTATGCTGTCTTCTATGTTTATCTTAACATTTACTTTGAGACTACATACCCAAAGAAGTTTCAGCAGTTCCTATTCATTATACGACTGGTGTGCGATACAACTGGATCACAAAATTGTTTACTTAATTGAGAATTAATTTAAAAATATAAAAAAAATATCCTTCGAGTGATTATCTTCCTTGAGTCTGTTACTTTATTAAGTGTAATTGCGAAACAGGATCGAATAAATTTGTCTAATTCTTCTCGATCGGCGAGCCCATTCCGGAAGTGGGTCCCGTCACCGGGAACCCGCCTGTATATTCGACATTCGGAGGCAGTTTTCACTCAGCTACGTGTCTCTTCAGTAAGCCAGCTCGATACTCTGATGGCCCATTGTCGACGGGCTTTTGTCTAGAAGCTTCCGAGCCACTATGAGAATATGACGAGCCACCGGATCCAGAGATACCCATCAGAGGCGTTTACACCAGAGATTACTTGTGACGTGGCTCCGAGCGACGCTTCTTTCCATTCGGCCAGTCGATAGTCCGCCCCCGCTTTCCCCTATTTTCCTTGCCTGACGCCGCGAAATTTTAGGCCTCGACGACGAGCTGAGTATCGAATAACGCGACAAAATACGTGCCGTTAGCCGGGGACATTGTTAGAGGTACAACGAAGGACGTACGAATTTCCAACGAAGCGCGTTTGGGTTTTGGGGCTACGCTCGGAAAATTTTGATAATTATTTTGAGAAAAGTACGCCTCGTAAATTACAATGACCATGAAATATTTTATTTCCCTTCTACGTTATAATTTCGACTTTTATAAATTTTTTAAATTTCATTCAGAGACGAAAAACAAAAAAGAAAGCGGACAGACACTCGAAACGTTCGTTAGATAACTCTTATTGGAAGAAATCGCGTGCCACGCCTTCCTGCAATTTACTTGAGAGCTCGAACAGTATCGCAATCGATGGTATTTCCGTAACGTCTAAGGTCGCCGATAAATACGAGATGACTTCGGTCGATTCAACACAAATTGCCATCTAACTGGAATAGTTTAGCGGCGATTTTTAATTGCAATTAGGCACGTAGCCAGATTCTCGTGTTTGGGGAACCGTTCCAAATCAGATTCCGATATAACAAACGCAGGGATGAATTTGTACGCGACAGATGCAGAAACGATTTCGTTCTCGAGCCTAAATACTTACGCGTCTCCTTATCTAGTTCTCAAAGACTTCGTTCTTAGTACCGTAATCTACATACAAAGAACCAGTACTAAATTATTTTCTAGTACTTTGTATATCGATAGAATTTTTTCTGAATCGAATATCATAAATTACGTACGCGTGGTCGACGGAAACAGTTCTTGGGGTTGAACAACTATAGAATTGTACAAGTCAATGTTAATAAGCGGAGAGTCTTAGGAGTCTGTAGCTACGAACCCAAGGTCACGAGAGTCGATTATCGGTGATCTTGGTATCGCAGGAGACTATAGCAACGACCCTGAATTAGGTAAGTCGATACTGACTACTCCCACGACCGTCGATGTTGACTTCTGCGGTTCAAGGACGTTGCTATCAATTTCCATAGACGTCTCAGGAATCATCGACTGCGAGAAATTGACGCAAGAAATTAGCAAACCAAGCTTGCGCTGTTCTGGAATGTTACCCAGGATGTGGAATGGCTTGAAACGTACTTGGTATTCTGGGGACTTTATTGGTAAGACTTTAAAACCGTTGAAATTGCATCCGAGAAACTGGACCATAAATATTTTATCTTCTGGAGGTTCTTAAAACGACACTATCGTCCGAAGACAATTTCGAATGTAATGGTTTCATTGGCAATTTTGCGTTTTAGAAGTCCCCAAGCACTCTGAATAGGGTTTACCGCTCACTATAAGTGAAAATATTAACCCTTATGCTTTTCTAGGATCAATTTCAAGGAAATCTATTTCTTAATGCTAGTTTTTATAGGATTTGTAATGGTTCAATTGACAATTTTACTTTTCAGAAGTTTTCAAGTGCTTTGAATAGGGTTCACCACCCACTATAAGTAAAGATGTTAACCCTTATGCTTGTCTAAAATCAGATTTCACCACAACACATTTCTTAATGGTAGTTTCTATAAGATTTTTAATGGTTTCAATGACTATTTTGCGTTTCAGAAATTTCCAGGTACTCTGAATAGGGTTCGCCAAACACTATAAGTGAAAATATTAACCCTTACGCTTTTTTAGAATCAGATTTCAGTAAAATACATTCCTAAAGCTAGTTTCTATAAGATTTTTAATGGTTTCAATGACTATTTTGCGTTTCAGAAATTCCCAGATACTCTTAATAGTATTCACCATCCACTATAAGTGAAAATAGTAACCCTTACGTTTTTCTAGAATTAGATTTCAACAAAATTCATTTCTTAATGCTAGTTTTTATAAGATTTGTTCTGTTTGTAATGGTTCCTCCAGCAATTTTGCATTTCAGAAATTTCCAAGTGCTCTGAATAGGGTTCACCACCCACTATAAGTGAAAATATTAACCCTTACGCTTTTTTAGAATCAGATTTCAGTAAAATACATTCCTAAAACTGGTTTCTATAAGATTTATAATGGTTTCAATGACTATTTTGAGTTTCAGAAATTCCCAGATACTCTTAATAGTATTCACCATCCACTATAAGTGAAAATAGTAACCCTTACGTTTTTCTAGAATTAGATTTCAACAAAATTCATTTCTTAATGCTAGTTTTTATAAGATTTGTTCTGTTTGTAATGGTTCCTCCAGCAATTTTGCATTTCAGAAATTTCCAAGTGCTCTGAATAGGGTTCACCACCCACTATAAGTGAAAATATTAACCCTTACGTTTTTCTAGAATTAGATTTCAACAAAATTCATTACTTGATGCTAGTTTTTATAAGATTTGTTTTGTTTGTAATGGTTCCTCTAGTAATTTTGTATTTCAGAAATTCCCAAGTGCTCTGAATTGTGTTCACCACCCACTATAAGTAAAGATATTAACCCTTATTCTTTTCTAAAATCAGATTTCAGTAAAATACATTCCTAATGCTAGATTTTATAAGATTTGTAATGGTTCCAATGACAAATTTGCATTTTAGATATTTCCAGGTACTCTGAATAGGGTTCACCACTCACAGTAAGTGAAAATATTAACCCATACGCTTTTCTAGAATCAGATTTCAGTAAAATACATTCCTAAAACTGGTTTCTATAAGATTTTTAATGGTTTCAATGACTATTTTGCGTTTCAGAAATTCCCAGATACTCTTAATAGTATTCACCATCCACGATAAGTGAAAATAGTAACCCTTACGTTTTTCTAGAATTAGATTTCAACAAAATTCATTTCTTAATGCTAGTTTTTATAAGATTTGTTCTGTTTGTAATGGTTCCTCCAGCAATTTTGCATTTCAGAAATTTCCAAGTGCTCTGAATAGGGTTCACCACCCACTATAAGTGAAAATATTAACCCTTACGTTTTTCTAGAATTAGATTTCAACAAAATTCGTTACTTGATGCTAGTTTTTATAAGATTTGTTTTGTTTGTAATGGTTCCTCTAGTAATTTTGTATTTTAGAAATTCCCAAGTGCTCTGAATAGTGTTGGCCACCCACTATAAGTAAAGATATTAACCCTTATTCTTTTCTAAAATCAGATTTCAGTAAAATACATTCCTAATGCTAGTTTTTATAAGATTTGTAATGGTTTCAATTACAAATTTGCATTTCAGATATTCCCAGGTATTCTGAATACTAGTTACTATTTCCATTATAAGTGAAAATAGTAACCCTTACACTTTTCTAGAATCGGATTTCAACCTAAATACATTTCTTAATGCCAGCTTCTATAAGATTTTTAATGATTCCAATGATAATTTTGCGTTTCAGAAATTCCCAGATACTCTGAATAGGGTTCACCACCCACCGCAAGTAAAAATATGAGCCCTTTCGCTGTCGAGTCCATACTTTTACGTACTTTAACTATCAAACAGGGGAAGGGGTAGTTCGTTGGCGTGCGTATGATTTGAAAGTCAAGGAAGAATCGATCGAGTGTGTCGCGATATCGTCAACACGCCATTGACGATGCTGGAAACACACGTAACGGAGACGGTTTATCGCTCGTGAAATGTCTTGGTCCGGAAAATGAAAGTAGAAAACTCACTTTGAGGGCCTCCTCGTGGGTCACCGCACGGAAGGGTGTGCCGTTCACCTCCAAGATGGTGTCTCCTGGCCTGAGTCCAGCGCGTTCGGCCACCGAACCTTCCTCCACCCTCGAAATGTAGACACCCACCCCTGAGAACAATTCGCAGACTTTCCATCAGGCCAGAAGCTGCCTGGCGACTGGTCCGCGACCAGTGCTGACTAAAACCTTCCACCCAGGACGCGACGTCGCAAAAGCCATTCTTTCCTCCATGCTCTTCCAATTTCATCGATCGTAATGGAAATCGATCGCGAACGCCCGACGCACACACGATCGCCGATAAAAAATGGGAGACTTCGCTCGAATTTTCTCGTTTTCGATGTTCACTGTCAATCCGGGAAAAGAGTTTTTCGATTAAAACCTCGGGAACGCGTGTGAAAGTTTAATCGACCGGAATCTCTCGCGCAATAGCGAAAGATGCGTCGATCGTTCGTTCAATTTTCCCCGAACAATAATTTTACTTTCGAGGGGATCCCGTGAAAGAGGAACGAAACGTCGGGAGAAAAGTTTTCGATGCAACGAAAACGTTTGACGTAATGAAAAATTTTATCCGTTTCCGGTCGAAATATTTTTACTGCTCTGCAGAATTTTTCTGTAGTTAGAATTTATTAAGTCGGTGTTGGACGATCTAATTCAAACTTTAAATTACACTGTTTAGCCGAGGTCTGCCCGCAGAAACTTTAATATCTCGTACAGAGTTGATGTTAAAATAAAAATTTTAATTAAAAAATTATATACTATATATACAGGAAATTACTTTATGAATTCTTTGTAAATTTATTTCGTTTCGGTAAGATTGAAATTTTGAATTCGTTGAAAATTAGCAATTTTTATCCATTCTCGTGATAACGAACCGCATAAATGATTCTTTTATTTACGAGATAGTGTTATCCCGATTGGCAGTCGACCCGTAATTGTTTCGAACTCAAACGCGATCGACAAACGGGATTTTTCACGGAACTGATTTAGACAAAGAAAAAGTCTAGTCCCTTAAGCATTTAAGTCTCGAAGTACCCACGATCTTGGAGTCGAGCCCGTATCATGAACCGGCTTCCAGACTCCATAAATCACGGCTGGGGAATAGATCCATTAGAATGCAAAGTCTGTGGCGACGCAAAGCTCCCATTTTTATTGGCGCCATTCGACCGGAACACGCGCCATGGGTGGAAATCATCGTGTATTAAACGGGGAAATAAAAATAGTAAAGAGAACAGAAAACAAAATAGAAAGTAGGATAGTTAATGCGGATGCATAAACGTGAAACTGTTCGAACAGATATTACGATTCTGTGCCTGTGCGTGTTTCGTGTTTCGTGTTTCTCGCGCGAGACGGGCCATGCAAAATATATTCTTTCCAGCGTGAACTCCTCGATGGAATCGCGCCATTTGCATCCTGTTCGTGTCTGACCTGCTCGCTGCTTGATTATAAAATGGTAAAAACTCTTTTAAACTTGATGTTCACATTTTTATTCTCTTTAAACAGTTCCTCGTTGAACGACTGCGACACGAGGCGCGGAAAAATACGTTGTAGAATCGAAATAGGAGCAGATTCTATGCATGGAATATTACAGGCACTTTCAATTATAATAATACAGCCTAAATTAATAGTAATTTTGCTTGATTTCATCTAAATAAATAAATCATTGCAAATTACTATTTATGTTATTACGAATCGATAATATCGAATAAATATTGTTGTCAAATATTATCAACTGGTTCAATCAAGCTGGACAATAGAAAGAAATGCTTGAGACGCGGAAAAATACGTTGTAGAATCGAAATAGGAGCAGATTCTATGCATGGAATATTACAGGCACTTTCAATTATAATAATACAGCCTAAATTAATAGTAATTTTGCTTGATTTCATCTAAATAAATAAATCATTGCAAATTACTATTTATGTTATTACGAATCGATAATATCGAATAAATATTGTCGTCAAATATTATCAACTGGTTCAATCAAGCTAGACAATAGAAAGAAATAAGCTGAAATCGTGATTGCGCTTCGAGAAAGTTTAAAATCGATTTTCTCGATATCGAAGCCTCGTGTAAAAATTTTATTCCACATTTTCGATTCCACTTTACAATTTTGCCACGAACTTTGCCGCGTCGCGTGTATTCTCCGATCAGAGGACCGTTCATTGCTCTCCAAACGATATCGAAAAAAGTACAGCGACGATAATTTCGTACCAAATTCGTATTCGCGGTTCAGAGTGTCGTTCTTTCGGGGAAATCATTTCCGCGGAAGAAGGCAACGCGAATGTCCATTGCTGTTGCAAATGTTCGATGCGTTTCCGGGGTACGTGTGGCGAGTGTTCGCGGAACGTTCGCAATCTGGCGACTACCGTCGACCAATTAATTTCCCAGCGAAAACAATTCGTTGAAAATTGCGGTTAATTCGCAATTAATGTCCGAATCTGTCCACCTGGTCCGAGCGCCCGCGAGTATTTGACAATTTGGGGATCGTTCACCGGCGAGGAAAGGATTCTCTTCGTCGGGCATATTTGTTTCGCCCGTACGTTCGCTGAAATCGCGGAAACAAATACCTGAACACCGCGTGCAACTTTTTCCCCCTCATTATGCAGCGATCGACCGATGGCTCGAAATAAATAGCGGAATACGAGAGGCGGCTGTAGACTTTATAAACGAGTGGCTCGTTTCCAATAGATACCGAATTTACTCTCGCATTACGACCGATCGATCTTCCCTGATTCGATTTATATTTCCTGCCTTGTGCCAGGATATTCGAATTACTACCATGGAAATGCCAGGGAACGTCGTTACGGAAATTTTCCAGGACTGAAATAATAATTAGGACAAACAGTCGTTTCGGAACGTTCGATATCGCATTAATAATCGCTTTAACGCGAAGAAAAAACAGCGGTGCAGAGAAAAAAAAAAAATACGACGCGTCCTCGTTAATGCGAACCAGTTAAGAGAAAGTCTAATTAAAAAAGATTTCACGGCGCCGTATAATTGAGCGTGCTATAAATTATGTTGGGACCAGCTGACACTTAATAAGAGTCGCGTTCGTATCGTTTTTTATATATTCTTGGCTCGTGTTACCTTATTATTTTAATAAAATATCGCGAAGATTAATTTATTAACTGGATCACTTGAAATCGTGGATTCTATATGGATTGAGATAGATCACTCGAATTGGAAAGGATAAATATTGTGGTACGACAGAAACTTTTGTTCGAGTATTCGACTTGCCGTGGTCAAAGTTGTTCAGAGATCTTTACATAGCGATAAAATGAATTTCCATATCGTTCTGATTCGATTTGAAACACGATATCGCTAGTAATATTGATTTCGATAGTTCAACTTTGAATCTCGACAATATTTGAATTTGTATTGCACACAGTAAATATTTGTTCGTACCAAACGTATCGTATTTTTAAATAAATATTACGGATTTCGTATCTTCTTTTAAAAGATGCTTATTTGATAAAAATTCCGGCGTTTAAAACTCAGTGAAAAGCAGTCTTTGGAATCTATAAATTTTATTACGAAGTTACGAGTGATTTTCGTGATTTTTTTTAGCAACACGACGATTCTATATGAAAAAATGAATCGAAAATGTAGAATACAATTTTTTCATTCGCGGGTTTGTTTTGAAGAAAAACGACTTTGAAAATTGATCAGGTGTGGCGCACTAGAATGCTTCGATTTATTACATGAATTTTTAATAATATTCACTTTCGAAACAGATTCTTTTACAAATTTATTTGTTATAACGCTATCACCTAAGATATTCCTCAAAATGTTGCCTATTTTGGTGCATACAAACTTTTCCCGATGTAACAATTTACATTTTTAATCGTTCAAATGTTATACTAATGTACAATAACTGTCTAGTACAAACTTTCTATCAAAATTCAAGAAACTAGAATGTCACGACAGCGTCCGTCGTATCGAGAAAATCCAGCGCGTGCCCCAAAAATGTTCAAAGTCGCTTTTCTCGAAAATAAAGCCCCCTACAGAAAAATTTTATTCTATATTTTCGACTCATTTTTTGACCTAGAATCATACGAATATACGATATTTAAATTAAATAGCAAAAGAATCGAAGGAAACAAAATTTGCACGCGATAAAGATTCGACGTTTCTCGCGATCCATAAAAAACCACGTACATTGCACGCTGGAAATAAATTTTCGACGATAGACAGGCTAACCGTACGTTTATTTGTTCCGTATTCACGGTTCGCCCCTCCCGGGTTGCCAATCGTATCGAGGAAATTTATCTTTCGCGCGACATCTTTAAGAAAGGAGAGAAAATAAGGTTTCCCGGGGTCTGTTCCTCCGCCAATTTCCACTCGAGAAAAGTCAAATCGTATCTACCATCTGTACGTCCGGCTGCGTCCCGCCAGCGAGAGAAGGAATAAGAATAAAATATTATAGACGCGAAAAGGGGGCGAAAAAGAAGACGGGGTATTACGAGGGTGGTTCCAGAAGTACCCTACCTAACAAAAAACAATAAAAAATTTGGGAACAAATATCTTTATTTTTCAACATAATTTTTTTTTAGCTGGGTACACTTTTCTCAGCGTTGTTCAATAGGTTCGATACCCTGTTTACAGTGAGAACCATCGAATTCCTAAAAATAGCCATTAACCGCAGACTCCCACCTCTTCATTATTGGAAAATCTTTTACCACCGAGCTAAGAGGGTGCGTGAGGGAGCAATTCGGACTTTAACTCTTGGATTTTGGCCATCGCGATGACGGATGTGTGAACTGGTGCATTGTCAAACACTTTCTTTTTAGCCAAATGCGGCCGTTTTTCCTTGATTTTGTTACTCAAACGGTGCAACAAATTCGCATAATACTCGATTGTTCTTCCTTTTTCAAGATAATCAATGAAAATTATTCCACGAGCATCTCAAAAAACTGACGCCATAACCTTGCCAGCAGATGGAACTGTTTTCGCCTTCTTTGGAGCTGGTTCTCCACTTGCAGTCCATTGTTTCGACTGTTCCTTCGACTCAGGTGATCCAAGTTTCATCCGTGGTTATGAATCGACTCAAAAACTTGGCTTTATTCCTGCGAAACATCGCCAAACACTCGATTGAAACATCCTCACGACG